TAGAACGTATGGTTGGTTGCCTTTATTATTTACACTATAAAAAAAATAGCTCTAATTATAACACAACACTTTCATTATATTTTAATCAGTAATGTTAAGCGTTTTTGTTAAAATTAATGATACGAAACAAGCGCAGATTTGCGAAAATAATTTCGTTAAATAAACGAATTATTTTTGTGCATTTTACCAAAATTTTGTAAAAAAAAAACAAAGAAATAGCACGAAATTCTTTAGTAAATAGTACGAATACATGCGTAAAATATACTAAAGATCTTATGACTCATATTTTCGTAGTATGTACGAAAACGGTTATGTACAATCAACGAAAACTTTCGTGGCTCAAAATGACGAAAAATTTCGTAAGATATACGCAAATTTTCGTTATATTTACGCAGATTTTATTTTCAGTGTACAAACGTAGTATTGCCTATTTTATATCTGCACTTGTGGCGTGCAAACACATTGAGACAGTCGATTTTAATTTAGTTAATTGGCCAACTCTTATGTTGCACCTCAATTATGTATCTGTAAAGAGTATATTTACATAGGTGTGTATTCAGGTGGACTAAATTGTAAGTGCACCGAGTTTGTAAGAACGCAAACCGTTATTTTGTCAATATGCCGAACTGCGTTTTCAACTGTGAATGGAGCCACTTTTCTTAAAAAAAAATGTTGTTGGACTACATATGTGCCAATTTTTTTTTATTTTTGGAATGTTTGCGAACGCTTTACTTTTCTTCTTCTTTATTACTTTTGCACTCCTTTTGTACTTTCGGCTTTCGGTTGCATTCCCTATGCCAATTAAATCATTGCTCACACACGCTCTAAATAAGTCGAAAAGATGAAACCACTTCTAATTCCACAGCTTGACAATTAGTCGCAGCTAAACGCACCAACGAACATAACTACCCGTTCATACACACTTACTGCCACTTGCAGTTTCAAATGTATACAAGTAATAGATAGTGTAGTTAGCCGGGTGCCAGCGCGAGCATGCGTGAGTACTTGCGACAGTGCGGTATATACAGTATGTCAGTGTCCGTGTGGTAAGACCAGATGCTGAACTGGAAACCGCAAAACCGGATCCAGTAGCTGTTTTCCGGCTACTGACACTGCTGCTGCCACTGCCAGTGCCAAGTCGTGCAAATGCAAATTAATCACCAGTATTTTGGTTTCTTTTTCAGTTTAATGTGTGTAAGTAGTAAGTCTAGTCTATCGCACAGTGTTCATTTGAAAGTAGAGATGCAATTGTGAATCCTAATGTTGGTTTATGATCTGTGCCTTACATGCACTTAGATATACATCCGACATTCAAAAAACATGAATTTTTATTATTTATTTCGTTTTTTTCTATAAACTTTCATCTGGAAATCAATGGTGAGTCAGTAAGTACTGACCAGCGGTGGGGCCATAGACGGAAAATAGAAGGGATATTTTTCTATTAAATATACATGGCATCAGGCCACTCTCTGGTACCTAGAAGGCGAGATACACAGTGTGTCTGATCTGCGAGTCATTTGTGTACATGTTGACTCGTCTGCGACTACACACAGTTGAATCATTCGGAGTCATCACGTGAGTCATGTCGAGGTAACTAACACATATTTATTTTCACAAACTCATCCAAACCGACTCGCGAGTCAGGCGCATGGTGTATGCCGCCTATAACTATTCGCATCCGACTACGATTGCACATGCAACGAATATGAAGATAAGGGGACGATAAGACGCCATGCAGCCTAGAATGGGCACTGAACTCCTTCTCAGCCGAGGGCTGTGGGATGCGACCATGCGCACTCCAAGAAGTATAAGCCCATTAGCCTAATAACGTTTCCTCAGAAAACCCCACAGAAATTGATAGATGCGGGCACCAAAAGAAACGTAACGCTTTCAAAAGCAAAGGAGAAAATCGAGAGTTTCATCGATGGTCAACAAACTAGAGGTTAGCATCATTGCATAAAATACGGATCTAGTACTCTTCACTAGGAAATACAGCATCGGTCATATATCCTCTTCTGTGTAGCTTAGTAGTGGATGAACTCCTGCAACTTCTCTCTAACAATGTCATCCGCTGCCAAGGCTATGCAAATGACATGTTGTTGTTGTTGTTGTAGCGGCACTACTAAGCCCCGCCTTTTCGGGTCTACGTTCAATCATTTTCGTCAAGCTCAACTAACGGGAGGCCCAGGAAACGAGCTGTTTCGATAAGTTCGGACCAGAGGGAGAGGGGTGTTAGCTGAGTCGGATTGAGCTGGCATGTAAAGAGGTGGTTGGTGCCGTAGGGGGACTCTCCACATGCCGGGCACTCATTGGGGATATTGGGGTCGAGTCTGGACAGGTAGCTGTTGAGGCGGCTACAGTATCCAGACCGTAATTGCGCCAGGGTAACGCGGGTCTCTCGTGGCAGTTAAAGCTCCGTCTCTTCCACAGGTGGTGATTGGGCTCGTATTACGGCATAATCACTATTGCTTTGGGAAAATTTTAGAGTACCCTCTGTGACATAATTCAAAGGAGTTTAAGATTAACCAAGAAATGGTTAGCCCAATTAAGGCATAAATTCAGCTAAAACTGCCATCGTTACCTTCACTAGGAGAAGAGCCCTACTGGGCATGAGGGACATAACCTGGGGGTGGCCGCGGTCAGCGGCTCTAGCGAACTTTAGTATATAATCGTAAGTTTTTATAAATAAACATGTGGATTCGATTACCTCCAAGTCCTCGAAAACTTGAGCAGTGTGTAAGCGTCTGGCAGGAAATACCATGATAGTAAAAAGAATTGTAATTAACCTATGAGGCGGTAGTTGGAGTTTCAAGAACCACCCAGGCCACGGTGACACAGTCTTCACCAAGCTACAACGACTGACATGTGTATGCACAACGGGGACAATGCGCACATGTCCAATGACAGCGCTGGAAGTAATTCTCGAACTTCAGCCTCTTCATATAGCCATAGAGCAGCTTGCTAAAAGAACTCTACTAAACTTCTCTAGAGAGGGATTTGGAAAAGGAAAAGTCATATCCTTTAGGAACATGGAAAAGTTAGTTAGTCGCTCTCTCTAGTGATATTTCCTAGAGAGGATATAGAAGGAACCATTATCTTTGAGAAGATTTACAATAGAACTATGCAGCAAAGCAACTTGGAGCACCTCTGCCATCGATAGACTGCTACAAGCTAGCACCATGCACTGGCACATAGACGGCTCGTAAACTCCGAAAGAAATAGAGGCAGGAATCTTCAGTCCCACGATTAAGATCTCTGCTTCTATGGGGTAATGTGCGAGCATTTTTCAGGCGGAGGTTTACGCCATTATTATGTGTGCGGAGCATATCCATGATACATTGACGATACCGAAACGAGAGGATCATATTCTTAAGCGATAGTTAGGTAGCGCTAAAAGTTCTCTTTTGATGAACTTTTTTTTCTTTGAGTGCATCGAGAAACTTAATTCTCTTGGTAGGCAAAACAACAAAAATTATAGGGTAAAGAGACGGCAGACTGTCTCGTGAGAGAGGCGGTGGCCACCACTCCAGTTGGACTCCAGCCGTTCTTGGAAGTAGGGTCTAATATTTTCAGGGAAGAGCTCAGGAAGGAGAGGAACGCACTACACTAAGAAAAGAGTTTGGTTACGTCAACTAAATATGTATATATGTATGTAATATGGGTATAACAATAAGAGGTTTCAATAAGAGATACCAAAACTTAATTAACCTCGCAAAGGAGAAACTTAGAATACTAATAGATATCCTTTCAGGACACTACTGACATTGCACGTAGTCCACAGCCTTGAGGATTGCAAATACCTCAGCTTGGAAGACCGGAGCATACTCCCCAAGAGGGAAGTGGACTTTATCCCCATTAACTCCGATGATGACCCCAGATCCTTACCCAGAGTCAGGTTTGGAGCCATTAGTGAAGATTCGACAAATTGTGAGTTCGGGCTCAGTGCTGGCATTAAACCAACGTCTCAGAAAATTCAACATTATAGAATCTCTTCAACAATGGTAATGGTGGCGAACTATCCGGGGGAATTGAAAAGACTCAAGTGGTCAGATCTCTGTCGCCAGCAATTTCCGCCTCACCCCATTCAGTGTTATATCTACATCCATCCGCTTCTGTTCAGTCTACAGGTGGCCTCTATGGCTTTCCAGACACAAGGTGACGGTAATTGCAACAGTGCGTCAAGAGTAGCAGCAGGCGTTGTAGAGAAATCTCCCGCACATAGCGACTGTTTTTAGAAGTTCAGCAAGCAGACTTCCCACGCTATTGATTGAGTGTCTGCTCCAGCATAGTTTGAATTGTGTGTTAAGCGTAGATATTAGAGTAATTAAGGGTGATAAGAAGAGAATCAAATACCAGGCATCAGAGCAAGGAGGAAAGCACACCACCCTGAGGACAGCCCTTGTTTACTCCGCACGTGACATATTGCCCCACTTCTGCCTGAATCCTGATGAGCAGCTGCGCTGGCATTGAACGAAAACAAAAAAGTTAAGTCCAAATTTGAATTCCTTCACCCCCAGAATTGTTTTTATACCGAAAAAGTTATACCCCTGTTTTTTCTTTGAATCCAAAAAAAATATTTAGAGGTCGCTCAAAGCGAAACACACATTTTTTTGTAGAAATGGTATAGAATTCGTGAAAATCAATATTTTTCGATAGCAAAACTCTGTTTCGCTTCAGTAGACTTCCAAGCCCAATTGTTTATTTAACCATTTTTTAACATGAGCATATTCACTATTTTTATAGGTCCCCCCAAAAACCACCAAAAATGCAATGGGGGACCCATAAAAAATCTTTATTTAGTATTAAAACATGGTAGAATAAACCATTCGCTATTATTATTCAAAGTCTCCTAAAAAGAAACGGACCTATAGAATATAGTTACTAAGAATAAAATGGTTAAATAAACAATTAAGTATTATTTTTCTTTGCACCAACCTAATGAACAATCATACATACATAGGTATAGGTCATATAGATAATTTTAAATGATTTTAACTTACCAACAACATAAAGTGCTATCACAAATGCTATGCCGTTATCGTTGAAACCTCGACATCCGCTTCTTCGACTACCATTGCTCCAGACTGTGGGTTTCCTTGAGAATAACGACATCATTTTAGGTAATTTATATCAATCGCTTTGCTGACGATTTTCACGTAGAGTGTGAATTGTTGTAATCTATGTAGTGCACCCAAATGCGTTTGTAGCGTAAGCACACAATTTTTTTACTTTTTCTTTAACTTTATTTTGCACTTTTTAATGTATGTATGTATTGCAGTTACTTAAATCTGCTGTTATAAATTAGTTTGGTGTTAATTTTATTTTCATTTCAATGTTTGTCTCTTAAATAATATTTCTGAAGCACAACTTAACGAAGTGTTTTATTTCTTCAGCTTCCCTAGCAGATAAGAGTTCGTTCTTCTATCTACTAATTGTACAAGAACTAAACTAAAGAAAACAAAAAAAAAAATCATTATTTCTAAATTATAACAAATCACAAAATGCAGCCAACGCGAACTTCACCTGCGCAACTACATACATACATAGTATGTAAGTACATATGTATGTATGTATGTATGTGTGTTTGTATAGAAAACAACCGTTTATGAAAACAAGCAAACAAAGTGGAATGAACTGAACGCTCACCCACATGCCCCCTATCTTCAATGGGCCCCATTCATTTTCTTTAGCAACACCGCAAATTACGCGTGCACTTAGCGATGGTTACTGTAGACACCCAGTCAGAAATTTGGTCATGTATGACTTAGGACGTATACAAAGATGCATGCAAACGCTTGTACGCAAGTATGCATTCATAAAAACAACATCCCAAAGCCAGCGGGCTGATCATACTTGCGCTCTCAGTTTGAGCTTAAAACATTCTTCTTTGGTATGTACAAACGGATGCATGACTTTCCTAGGATATCGCCATGGAAAAAAAGATGCATCCTGGAATGCATAGAGCCTAAGGCCGATGATACATTCTTGGGTATGCAAGGACTATACATTATCCGTTCGCTTACATAGCGATGCATCTTTTCGCTCAACCATAGTTGGTAGAAAAACTTAGTGTATTCCCATTTTCCCACTGGGTATTTGTCGAAATTAAAAGTGAGTGCAAGTACGGAAGATGTCGATTGATGAATATCAAACTGCTTGTACATCACCGCATTCTTAAGAGGTAGCAACAACACAATAAGAAATTTGCATGGATCAGCGTGTTCTTATTTGACCGCCAGCGCTGCGCATATATGTACGTATGCACATTAGAGTGGTCCACATTTTTAAAAATATTTATTGAAATCAAAAAGTATTTAGAGGTCGGTCAAAGCGGTAAAAGTTTCCATATATTCAAATGGGGAAAAACAGCTTTTCGTAGAAATAGTATAGAATTCAATATTTTTCGATGGGATGTCTTTGTTTCTCTGCAGTAGACTTCCAATAATTACACCTTATTGTTTATTTTACCATTTTCAAACACTAACGATTTTTTATGGGCCCGCCATTGCATATTTTGGGGTTTTTGCGGGATTTATAAAAACAGTTGCTATTCAAAAATCGTTAAATAAACAATCGGGTATTATTAATGAAAGTCTCCTGAAGAGAAACAGAGTTGTCAGATCGCAAAATATGGATTTTCAAGAATTCTATACAAAATTTACGAAAAATTGTGTTTTCGTTTTAAGCGACCTCTAAATATTTTTTGTTTTACAAAAAAAAAAGCAGGGGTATAATTTTATCGGTATAGAAAAATTTTCGGGGGTGAAGGCTTTAAAATTTTGACTTTATTATTTTTGGGCAACCCTTAAGTATATCATCGAATTTTTTTTAATCACGTGTTAATTTGACAGTGACAGCACTTTCCAGCGAGAAATCTTGGCAAAAATTCAGTGTCATATATTGCGGAATGAAATAAATCAGAGACATAACTGTTATAAGGAATATAAAAAAAAAATAAAAAAAATTGTCCATAACTATTAAATTGTAGAAATAAGATTTTGTTACTTTACATAATAGTTATTTTTAACTCAAAACAAGTTTTGCTCCCCTGTATGTACGTGTTATTCGTAATATAATCTTTTTTCCGTCGCTCATAACTTTTATTTTCGACTTTTTTGCTTTTACGATGCTCAGTGAGAGTTATTCTCAAGAGAAAATCTTTTCCTTTACTCACAACTTTCTGCTGCTATTTACACTTCATCATGTGGTTGTTGTTTTTGTAACAGCCCCAAGCTCAATAAAATTGTTTCGAAGTATTTGTTTTTACGTTGCCTGGTAAGAGTTATTTTAAATGAAAATTTTTTTCGTTGTTCGTAACTTTTATTTTCGACTTTTGTTTTTTTATTTACGTTGCTTAGTAAAAGGTTTTTTTCGAAGCAAATTTGCTTTCCGTTGCTCAAGACTAGACGTAAGAATATAAGTGTGTTTACATGTGTCAAACTAACTTCAAATTTTTGGTTTATGCTGATAATCCATTAAAACCCTATATGGCCAAGTAGCTTAGGGGATGCGATAGTACATATAGTATTTGTATTCTAACAATTTAAAAATTGATTAATATAAGTACATATAGGTACAAAATTTGAGAAAATGTTTCATGAATTTGCGGTGATGCGCAATAATATCAATTGAACTGATGTCAATTGACGTAAATTCACTTTTTTAAAGGAATTGATGTCAATGACATTAGCATACAGACAAAAAGTGAGTTAATGTCAGAAGACTTGTGGAAATAATATCATTCACATTAGTTCATTTCGGAGAAGATCAAAAAAATATATATATTTTTTTAAGACATGGTTGAAAAATGTGTCCTCAGATAGCGACGATTTGGAGCGGTCGTATCATTGGCCATTTTCCTTTGAAAATCCTTTGGAAACGCCATTTCGGTCAACGGTAAGAGCTACAGAGGCATAATAAACTATATTTTGTGACCGGAAATTGAAGACATGGACATGGATAATCTTTGGTATCAGCAGGAATGTGTGCCATGCTTTACAGTCCATGCCACAATCAATATTTTCCGCGCCAAGTTTAGTAATCGTGTTATCTTGGCAATGTCAATTTTCCCCTAGTAACTGCGATTTCACGCGGTTAGACTTTTTTTGTAGAGTGCCGTGAAGGACCGACGTTATGCGAACAATCCATTATCGATTCATCCCCTTAAGGCGAATATCGCGCAAGCCAAACGTTAGATAGAGTTAGAAACTGTCACCAAGGTCTTGTAAGACTGGGTTAACAGGATGCGGTACTGCGAATCCAGATGAGGCAGCCACATGAATGAAATTGTATTCCATAAATAACGAAAATTTGTTCTCTTTCAAATAAAACAGTAATATACCGAAAAAGATTTATTTTATTTTTTTAATTTTTTAAAAGAAGCCACTATATAAACTACCCTATAGATACTTGTACACAGGGGAACACATTGCCTCAAACTTGGTACGTCTATATTTACATAAATGTTTCTTTATACACAAAAAGATTGTAAACAATATGCAGAATATGTAAAGTCATTCGTAACAACCAAGAATATAGTTTTTCATGGGTATAATTTAGCAAAACTCCAAAAATCGGACAACGGAAAGATGTGCCTCGAAAGGCCCTAAAAACCCACAATTTCATGCAATTTTTCACAAAGTGGTCAAAATTGCCTATAAGTCAGTGGGAATTTTTAAGATATTTTAATGGCACTTGGCATCGCCCTGGGCAAAAAATGCATTTGAAATGTGAAAAGGGTTGTTTTATTGATTATTTTTTCGATTACTATACATTACATTTTCCCAATGGGTTATTGAGGTTTTTTTGAGAAACAGCCGTGAGGCCTTTTGAAAAATTCAATATGGCGTCTCAAATATGGCATCTAAACTAAAGAACTATGGGTAAATTTTTTTTTACCCGACCGCACTTGTGCATTTTGTTCACATAACGGTTGTTTGTAACAGCCAAAACGAATCGAGATAGATATAGACAAATGTATACATAAATGCTCAGAATTAATAGAGAAGTCGATTAAGCCATGTCTGTATGTCCGTCCGTCAGTCCGTCTGTCCGTCCGTCCGTGTACACGATAACTCGAGCAAAAATTGTGATATCTCACCGAAATTTGGTATGTAGGTTTCCATTGATCCAAGGTAGGTTCGTATTGAAAATGGGCGAAATCGGACAGTAACCACGCCCACTTCCCATATAACGGTAATTTCCAAAATACGAAAACTGCGATACTGCCCACTTATGGTTACATGTGTATATCTTGGTAACCGCTGCACCAATTTCTTTCAAACTTGGCACAGTTGTTGGTCTTGGTACGGCATACTAATTGGCCGAAAATTTAAAAAATCGGACAATAACCACGCCCACAGCCCATATAACGGTAATTTAGAGAAATACAAAATCTTCGATAAATCAGTAAATATTAAAGATAATTTATTCAAAATTGATGCTTGCAACAATTATTTACCAAGAAATACGTTTATGGTAAAATTTTGGAAAATGGGTGTGGCACCGCCCACTTATGATCACATATAAGTATATCGGTAACCGTTCAACCAATTTGTACCAAACTCGGTAATTTTATTGTGCTTGCCACATAAAAGCAAAACGTTGAAAATTATTGAAATCGGACTAAAATTACGGCCGCTTTTCATATAACGGTAAATTTCATAAATGCTTGAAACTGCAATATTTCGAAATTTAAGTACGCTAATTTACTCAGGGGGTATCAATCCCCGGCTTACTATCTAGCGGTAGGTTTCGGAAAGGTCAAAAAACATATATTTAATACTTGCGCCAGGTATTTAATGTTCGGCTCCGCCCGAACTTGAGACTTTCTTACTTGTTAATTTTTATTTTAAAGCATTGACAATATAATGAAATAATTTTAAGGTTTTCGGAACTACATATATTTAATATATATATGTATACTTTTCTTTATTTCATTTAGTTTTTACAAACTTTTTTTCGTTTTTATTTCTTTTTTATTTGAACTTTTAGATTTTATTGTTTGCGGACTTTCAGCCAAAGTTAGTTAGTAGATTTTTTCAATTAGTTTTTCAAAAGACACAAATGAATGCTCTGACTTTTGTCTTTCGAAAGACTGTAGTGAGTTAAAAGACAGTTGCCAGAATTGCCCTATTATAAAATAAGCTTAAACGCCAAAACCGCTGGGTTAAACCGAGCTAAAACTATCAAAAAAAATAGTCAAATCGTTTGTAAAATACTAGAAAAATATTCATTTCAGAAAATTTTTAATAGCGACACATAAATGTATTAAATCTTTATCTATTGTTATCGATATTGTTTACAAAATATAATTAAATATTGTGTATATGCATCGACATCAATCGGTTATCATAGTGTCTATCTATGTCAATATCAATGCTATAGCATATCGGTATTCATATCGCCCCCTTATCTCAATCGTAAAAGATAAAATCTGTATTTTGCTT